CCATGTGCTGGAATAAATCGTTAAATCACAGCCTGAGGTCTAAAACATGCAGTGCATGTTGGTACTTAGATAAACCTGCCTGGATTACTTTTTTTACCTTTAAAAATGAGAGTGGATGCGAGAACTGTACAGGAAGCAGTGTTTGTGAACACATTCAAATCTGTTGTAGAATGCTGCAATTTACTTGGGGAGAAAAAAAGAACTATCAATGCTAGGCTCTGTATTCTTGAAGATGCCCTGCGGTGTGGAGGGCCCAAAGCAAGGGAAAAGCGGTAGCGCTGAGGAGGACAGGTAAGGAGGTAAACAAAGTAGGTTTCACCAGCTTGAGGATGGAGGCAGTGGACCAGGCCTCAGGTTCTAGGAAGTGTCTCTCGGCTCACTCTCAGCGGGAGTCAAGCCATCAATTAGGAGGGAGCCGGGGTTTAGCCAGATGGCGCCATGTATCAGCAGCACAACATCTGCCACATTACCCTCTAGGTACACAGTGTTCAGGGCGAATGAGACCAAATGGAAACAACTGCGGAGCAGGGCAGAGCGGGACACAAAAGCTCATCTCAGGGCCTTGTGGGCCATTATTCAGATCCAGTGTCTACCAGGGAATGTCAGGGTAGGTCTCCCTCTACTGCCCCATCGGACCAAGGCGGTCCTAACAGAGGAGAACTAGGTAGTCATTAAAGGAAGAAATGATGTCTTCCTGATCATCAGGTTTGAAATCACCCAGATGAGCAAGACAGTACTAAAGGTGTGCAGCCAGCACCCTCCCTCATCCCCCAAATCTTTAGAGGACAGGGAGTGTCTCCTTGTCTGTGCTCTGCACCGATGCCCCTGCATAAGTTCCTGGCCAACAACACTGAGAAAGAATATTTCCAACAGTCCTCTGTGAGTAAGGTTGCACTGCTTTTACCACATAAAAAGCCCTACCGGTCTCACCGTTCCAAAACACAACTGTGTTTAAACAACCTATTAAAAGAAGCAGCACTACCTATTGGAACACATTCTGAATCCAGGCTTTGTACCTATGCTTTTCCACTGATGAGCTCTGTAGGTTTAGACAAGTTCACCTGCACAGTTGTGAAATGAGGATAATATACAAAACACAGAAATACCAAAAGCGTTCAATAAATTTTGGCTGACACTAATCCCCATTAATATGAGTTTCCATTAGTATTCACTGATGATGAATATTTACTTACTTCTTATACCTAATACATACCTAATACCATCTTCAGGAATCTGTGTCCCATACAACAGAGATGGTAATACAGAAAAAGCCTCTCTCTCCAAAAGAAAAAATCAGTATCCTCTGAGCAGAAAAAGCAGCACAAACAAACCAATCAGATTTAGTCTAACAGCCACTTAATTTTCCTTGACTTACCCACCTGTTGGAACGAGAATGTTATTCAATCCTCCCAGATAGAATAGGTTAGTCTCTTGCTCGGTTCTGGTTCCTCTATTATTATCACATTATTATCATTACTTCACAAAATAGTTTCATTATGAGGACATTTTCAGGTTTCCAGACTGTGTCCTTCAATCCCATCCACCCCACTGCCCTCCTATCCCTGGTGTCTCCTCCGCCTCAGGGTTCCCCGCTCTCCCTCAGGTGACTCCACTCTGCTTTCGTGTCTGCATTTCACACAGAAAACATACTCCCTTGTCTACCTGGTCTTTCCTACCTTCTTGGACTGAATGCTGGCTTTCAGAGTTAGGAGGCCATGCTGCCCACCCACACGCACGAGGAGCTGCTCATAAAAACACCAACCCGAGTGCTGCGGCACGTGGTATGGGAGGGATGAAGCAGCAGCAATAGAGGCAGCAGCAGCGGTAGCCTGTCCACGCCGTGGGAACCCCCTGGACTCCTGTACTATGCTGGCCAGCATCCCGGCTCCCCTCAGAGGGCTGCACTGCCCGCAGGAGCCCAGCTCTGAACACTGATGAGCTACATCAGTGAGCTACATCTGATGAGAGACATCTTCCCAGCTGTCAAGGGCTGGTCTTTAAATGTTCCTCGTTTGTACACAGGGTGCAGTTCCAATGCCGACACTCATCTGGTGACAGATCTCAAATGCAGAGCTGCCCTGGCAGAGAAAGGGCTGTGGCTTCTGCCCAGCTGCCTCTGCTCCCTCTCACTAGGGCTTTGGGATTTCTAAACTGTCTCAGGGCCATGCTAATTTGCATGTCATGTACCCCCATCCACCCACCCACCAGTACTTATTAACTGTGTCCTCCACCCAGGTGCTGCTCTAAGTTCTGTGGGTGCAACACTGAACACAAACAGGCAGTCCCCCATTCTCTTCAACACACATTTTAGTAGAGGAGAATAAAAACACCAAAGACATGAATACCATGACTTCAAACAGGGGAAGGACTGATTAGAAAGGCAAGGGGGAGTTCTAGAGCAATGGAGGCTTGTGGGGGGGGGGGAGGGAGGGGGAGAGAGGCTCAGGGAGGAAGTCAGGCCTGCGAGACCTGGCGCGGGGTGCTCTGGAAACAGAAGAGGCGGTACACAGAGGCTATGGCTTCAGCAAGCTTGTAGGAAGGAGAGGACCTAGAGCCATCAGTGTGGAGTGCAATGCATGAGAGGGAGGGGGAAGAGAGAGGTCAGCCAAGGAGACAGGGCCTGAACAAGGAGACTAGCTTAGTTTTCATTGTACCAGGAAGCCATAGAAGGGTTTTAAGTAGAAACGGACATGGTAAGAAATCAGAAGCAATTATATGCTTTCTTCTTAAGTTCCCAACGACTATAGTACATACATGCTTAGCAATATGTCTGCAACTAAATCCTACATTCTATTTCAGATAACCACAATAGAGATATTATGGGATATGATACAGTGGAAGTTAAATCACGATATCACCACCCAAAGCCACCCCTGTTGGCCTAAGAGGAACACTGCGGTGTGATTTAAGAGAATTTCATATAACTTAATGTCTTTCATTAAAAAGATAACGCAGTGATAACAAGCAGGAGTGACATCCAGACCTCAAATAACAGTTTTACAAAAAAGCAGCATTGCTTACAGCAACTGCTCAACTTGGAAAGTAAGAGAACTGGAAATGCTAAGCTGGTTATCTATAACAAGTACCAATCCACTACTTTACAACTCTTAACAAAAGAACTCTTTAAAAAAAAAAAAAAAAAGATGTGGCCATGTTTTGGTTGCCCTTGCTGGTAATACTAGCTACTCAGGAGGCTGAGATCTGAGGATCAAGGTTCAAAGCCAACCCAGGCAGGAAAGACTCTTATCTCCAATTAACTAGCAACAACAACAACAAAAGCACTGGAAGTGGAGCTGTGGCTCAAGTGGTAGAGCACTAGACTTGGGCACAAAAGCTTAGGGACAGTGTCCAGTCACTGAGATCAAGCTCCAGGACTGACACCAAAAAAATAAATTAAAAAATAAAGGTAGAAGAGAGCTTCCAACTAAAACACATAGTCTGCAATGCAAACAAAATTCACGGCCCTGTCCCCTTAACTACAATGGAGGCTGAAGTAGGTGATAAAGGCAAAGCTGCACTCCGTAATGCTGCTCTGTTCTCTCTGATCCCTTGTCTGGAGCAGACCTGCACACAGAAGTGGGCTCTGGAACATTCCTGACAAGAAAAATTTGGGAAAAAGCAGGGAAGAAACCGTCCGTGGCAGATGTCCTTGAGACGATTCTGCCAGGTTTTTCTGAGCTTTAGAAGTCAGAAAGGGCGTGAGCCCCTGATGATGATGTCAGACCAAAAGTGTGTGGAACCCGATGAAGCACAAGCTCTGGGGGCAAGCAGGGTGCCCAGCCATCAGCCGCCACCTGCTCAAGGAGCTCAGGGAGAACACAACCACCACCAGCAGCAGGCTGGTCTCTCATGCTGCCCAGCTCACAAGACCAAGAGGACATGCTTGGAGGGGCTGACTGGCGCTATCCGCCCCTGCTGGTGCCTTATGCTTGTAATCCTAGCTATGCAGGAGGCTGAGATGAGAGGGTTTAGCCAGCCCAGACAGGAAATTCTGTGAGACTCTCATCTCCAATGAACCACCACAAAGCCAGCAGTGGAGCTGTGGCTCAAGTGGTAGAGTGCTCGCCTTGAACACAAAAATTAAGGGATGTGACCACGAGTTCAAGGCCCCCTCTCCCCCACTAACCCTACACACACACACACACACACACACACACACACACACACACACACACACACACACACACACACACACACACACACACACACACACACACACACACACACACACACCCCCTAAGTCAAATCCCTCACTTTCAGTTTAGATCACACTTTTATCTTTAGTCTTTTTAAGACCTGTGTTCACATTACTTTGTAATAAAATTATTTTCAATTTATATCACACATGGAAGACTGTCTTAGATCCCTGAATGTGCTATAAAATCCTGGGAGCCACAGTCATCGCTCGTGCTGCTCATTCACCCATGGTATAAAACACATAGCCCAAAAGAGGGAAGGAAATAAAAAATAATTGTTTTGCAGCATCGCTCTCTTGAGATAATCACTGTGTAAGTTTCTGGTTATCTCCCTCCATAAACGCTTGTGGCCACATATGAACTTCTGTTATTTAGTGCTCAATCTACTGGGCAAAATTTAGAAGGTAGAAGGATTGCCATTACCAAATACTGTCACTATAGAACCATGGATCATTTGTAGTTCAAGATGGGACACAAATAAAGATTACTAATTGTGACAAGGTGAGTGTATGAGCATCCCAAATGCAACATCCAGGCACGCATCATTCCCCTGATGCCCCAAGGACTTCACAGAGCAAGCTCTGGAGTCGCAGAGTTCTACTCCTTCTCAACTTTGCTCATCCATCCTGAGGCTCTGCCTGTTCTTTTACTCATGAAGAGCTAGCAAGCTGACAGGTGTCTTCAGCTCAGCATTGTCACCGCCTGCAGCTGAGGCCTTCAGGAGTGGATTCGGTGGAGCAAGACCCCTGCTAAACAATTACAAGTCAATCAGAAACCATATTTCGGTAAAGGTGTTCATCTTACCTGAAAGGAGTTCATGCGGCGGAGGGACACAGGTAGTGTGGCAGTGCTCCTGGACAGTATCAGCAGAAGTTCCAAGCAGCTTGCTGAGGGCAGGGTGATGGCGTGGATGCTGATGTCACTCTCCCATTCACGGGCAAGCCTGGGGCACACAGACAGTTGAACTTTCACAAATGTGTTCTTGTAATTATTTTAAGCCTGCCAGAACAAAGAGAACTTCCAGTAGTTTGGCAGAGATCAGGGTGCGGGTAGAAGTACCTCACAAAAGTAGAAATGAAATGAACTACAGATTCGCAAAATCAGTGTCCAAACACACTGTTGCCAGGGGCAGCCATCTTTCTGTATTCCAACTATGAGAGTCACAGGGACCGTGGACACCTGCAGGGAGGGCTGGCTGAGAAGTGGGGGCATGTGAAAACACTTCTGGCCGTCCATTGTGCACAAGGTCCTGCTTAGGCCTCAGCCACCTGGGCAAAGGACCTGCTGTTGGCTGGCACTGACATGTCCTTATGGGACATATGGATCCATGATCTTCAAGCCTCGAAAGTCTTGTCACAGGCCCAACTTGTACCACAAATAAAAGCCCAGTTGTTCTGTTTGATGGCGGAGCTGGCGGACACTGCCTTTCCTCCGCGGTGGCCCATGAAGCAGCTCTGGTGAACCCCGCACAGCCCAGTTAAAAAATCTTTGGTTTGAGACATGAGGAAATTTGAGTATTAGAAACCGGGACCTGTCTGAGACAAGGAAGATGTGCAGAGAGTGACACGGTCAAGTCTCAAATCTTGATTTCCTGACTCTGCAACTAATGTAAAGGGAAAATTCTAGAAAAGAGGATTCTAGACTTGAACAATATCACTCTCTGAAAATGAGAAAGATGCATGAGTTCCATGCTTTCAATTCTTCTATTTTTCAAGTTTAATCACTCAATTCTTACTTAGGTATTTCTTCTGTGATCCCTTATCAAATATTCTTTATCAGTGTTCTACATTTTAAAAAACATATTTTTAAAAATACAATACTTTGCCAGGAGCTGGTGACGCCTACCTGTAATCCTAACTACACACACAGAAGGATAAGATTTGAGGACGAAGGTTCAAAGCCAGTGTGTTCAGCAAAGTCTATGGTATTCTTACTGCTAATTAACTACCAAAAGTTGGAAGTGGAGCTGTGGCTTAAGTGGCAGAGCACCAGTGAGGGAAAAAGCAAAGTGACAGTACCCACACCCTCTCTGAGTTCAATACCTAGGATGGGCACAAGCAAACAAAAAGTGCTCACCTATCTACTATATAAATGCACTCTTTGGCCATTTCTATAAGCCTATCTTGGCAATGCCAACTTCATCCACCTTAGTGGCGAATGGAAGTGGTTTCTAGAGCCCCTTCCCCCCCACCCCCCCCAGGCGGAGGGCATAATGGATCACCATTCTGGTCACAAGCCAGAGGGAATGGCTCAGCTGTATCTCCAAGCAAGGCATTTATCATGCTGACACACCTGCCATGTGGGCGGCAGAGTTAGTGCTTCTTTGAAGCACTTACCAATGAGCTGGATTGGAATAGGCATGGCTCACTTTCCTAAAACCATCTGATTTCAGCAAGGGCACGTCTGCGTGTCATCTGAGTTTCAAAAGTTATTATTTTATATTGACTGGCTCTGTTATTCCTTCTGCTTTTGTTCATTATATAACATTCTCAACATTTCTCTAGCATAGAAAGAATGCTATCATTTAAAAAATTCCAATTTAGTTCTAGGACAGTGGCTCCAGACTCACTCTCCACCTCTTTCTTTTCTGTCCTCTAGAAGCCACATTTTCCACACTCGAAAAGCACGATGCTATCAGCTGTATCTGGCACAGACACATAGTATGTCTGTTTTATTTATTGAAAACCAGGCTAAGGAAGAAAATTTTAACAAGGATTTGTTTTAGTTAAATCATGGCAAAAATGGATGAAGGGGAAGAATAGAAATATTTCCTGCTCCTAAAAAAAATTTTTTTTTTTGGTGCCAGTCCTAGGGCTTGAACTCAGGGCCTGGGCTATCCCTGAGCTTTTGGATCCCTTTGCTCAAGTCTAGTGTGCTATCGTTTGAGCCACACCTCCACGCCTGGCTGTTATGGTGGTTAATTGGAGATAAGAGTGTAAAAGACTTTCTTGCCCAAGCTGGTTCTAAACTGCAGTCCTCAGTGATCCTGGACTTCGATGCGTACTGTGCCTGGCGTTACTAGCTGAGATGGAGACTTGGGAACTTCTTGCTCAGGCAGCACTGAATTGTAATCCTCCCTTATCTTGGCCTCCTAAGTAGCAAGACACAGGTATGAGCTACCACACCCAGCATAAACCTACAATTTTCTAATAATGTATGTACAAATACCTAAGCAAGCGAATGAAAATATCAACACATTAACAGGAACTATCTGTGGGTACTGGGACTGTAAGAATCCCACTGCTTTTCTTCAACTTTTTCCTGTTTTGTTTCAAATGACTCATTATAGAGGTACTAGAATTTGATGATCATGGAAAAGTAAAAGCTACTTTTGTTTTGAGACTATATCAAATAAAATCTATCTTTTAATGCTTTAACAGGTAAAATACAGCTTCTATAGAGGAAATGAACCAAATGATCTGAGCAAGTATTTGAAATTCTTAGTTAAATTAAGATACAAGTAATTTAAACTTTAGTTAAATTAATTTTTCCATGACAAGAATATCTAAGATTCTAAATTTAGAGTTGGAGATTTTTTTTTAAATCATTGTTAGCAACATTCAAATTAACCTTGATATTAAAAGGGCAATATCTTGAAGCTGACAAATCTGGTGGTTACGTGGATACTTTCCTTCAATAACAAGAAGTACAAAATAAATAATATAAATCAGAATACTTTAAGTGACTTTAGCAGACATATCATGTATTATTAAGAGAAGAATAAAGAAAGGCCAATACAAGCAAGAAGACTTTTGTTTTTAAAGTGCTAATAGAGAAAAGCTCACATCCAAGGAATGAAAGGCCAAGGTGTTCAGTTCATGGAGATGAACTGGAATAAGGAAAAAGCCGAGGTTATCTGCATTTGCTAAAACAAACTCCACTGTGAACCCAAGTGTCCAACATTCAAGCAGCATTCTTCATCTACATTTTTACTTTGTCCAGTCAAGTTGCAGTAACAGCCAATCTGCCTGACGCTTTGACCCCATTAGGCCTTACAGTCGTATCACAGCCAGCTGAAGTCTAACAGACCACACCGCTGTTTTAACAGTTGGGTTTCTCCAAAATTAAAATGTTCTATTCCTGACAGTGCCTAGCAACTCAACTGTTAGAACAGCTGCTCAAGTTGAAGAGTCAAAAACCAAGTACATATAAAGCTGCTCCTATTTGCCACTGCTGTGAAATTCCTTCAGAAGAGAACTTCCTATACTTAAGTGCGTTCTGACATTTTCTAACCTGTTTAAGCATTTATTCTTGCATTGCCTCTGCCTCTGACCTCCAGCCAACGTTCCTGTCATCTCCATCTCTCTTGGTGTTTGCCCTTTGTGTCCTTCTTCCTCTGAGCTCTAATTGCTAGCTGGTTGCTTTCTGCTTCCCTCACTGGGATTGGGGTGCTGGGCACCTCATCTCCTTCTCTCCATTGTCTTGGAAGCAGCATTTTTATTCTGTTGACACAGAGGTGGTAATTCACAAGTCCCCAGTAGGAAAAATACTATTTCCAGTGACTTCTGTTAATACTACTAGGGTTAACGATTGAGGAGGGACACTTAAAGACAGTCCAACAATATTGTTTTAATTTAAAATCATTTTAAAAATCCTTCACAATTCTGCCTTTGTTATCATTCTCTCTTTCAGATATATCTGCCTGCACTACAGTCTACATTTTCTCTGTACCACCGAAACCTACATCAATCATCAATCATCAATCATCGCCAGTAATGATTAGCCAGTCTTTCCCTGGTAATCCATCTATATTTATTTAACCTTTCTATTAAGCTATTTACTATTTACTCATTTTCATACTTATTCATGTGGTGCTGGTGGTTGAAGTCAGTGGCTTGTGTGTACTAAGCACACACTCAACTAGGAGTTTCACCCTCTCCCACTTTACTCAGTCTTTCCATTGATCCACTCCTCCATCTAACCCCACATCCTTCTCATCTTTGCCAACAGCGCTGCAGAGGGCCAAGCTACGTTACCCAGCTAAGCTCCTCAAGCCTGGAAAGGACTTTCATCTTGACTTTCTAACACGGCTTCTTCTTCTCCTCACAGATCCTTACTCTCACAAATGTACTGCATTACACATCCCTGAAAACCGCAGCTCCCAGGGTCTAAGAATAGATTTACTGCCGGATCTAGACTAATCAAAACCTGAACATACCTACGGAGAAGCTGAACGCGTTTTTTAGATTACACCATCTCTCCTGCAGCAGCTCCAGCTCTTCTGCTGCGTGATGTACGGAGCGATCCTGGCCCATTAATCTAAGAAACCACGTCTCTCCCTGCCTCGCTTCTCAGCGCAGAGGCTGTAAATGGAAAGGTGTTCACGGAGCTGGCGCTGGGTGTGTGTGTGCGTGTGTGTGTGTGTGTGTGTGTATGTGTGTTGGGGCAAGCTGACGCAGATGAACGCAGGCGTCCGAGAGCTCTGTGCAGTGCACTGGAGCCGAGGGCTGAAAGTCATTTTAATAAATCATGTCAAGCCCCAAATCACAAGTGCAGTAGAGTTAAATTTTCTTAATTAGAGGAGCCTTGAAAACAAGGCGCTGCTGTCACTATTATTACCATAAGGTTAATGCCCAAGCCACTAGCTCCAAAGACCCCTCATTGTATTTCAGAGTGTAAGTCTGCAGAACTGTAGCCGTTCTTCCAGCTTGCAAGATTGTTAGGATCCGTTTTGTTTTACGGGGCTAAACATAGCGAAGTTTTCATTTTTTAATAAGAGCTTAGATAAATAACCTTAAGTCCCAAAGGGCCTTGTTAAAGTAGCCTTGTGAAAGTTTTACACTTGCATATGAGTTTGAAAAAAAAGAAAAAAAAAATGTCCACCTAGCAGTTTGAGCTCCTGCTGACTTCTCTAGCCCTGGGGGAGTTATTGTTAAAATTCATGTGTCTCGCTATTTCAAATGATTTAAAGCAGTCGATTATGATAAGTCACCATGAAATACA